CGGCCACTTTGTTTACCTCCTTAAGCATCAGCAATGGTGGGCACCCCTCCCCCAGCCTCACTGCTGCCTTGCAGTTAGATCTCAGACTACTGTCCTAGCAATGAGGGAGGCTCCGTGGGCATGGGACCCTCCGAGCCAGGCATGGGATATAATCTCCTGGTGTGCCATTTGCTAAGACCCTTGGTAAAGCACAGTATTAGGGTGGGAGTGACCCGATTTTCCAGGTGTTGTGTGTCACAGTTTCCCTTGGCTAGGAAAGGGAATTCCCTTCCCCCTTGCGCTTCCCGGGTGAGGCGATGCCTCGCCCTGCTTCAGCTCTCGCTCGTTGGGCTGCACCCACTGTCCGACACACCCCCATGAGATGAACCCGGTATCTCAGTTGGAAATGCAGAAATCACCCGTCTTCTGTGTCGCTCACGCTGGGAGCTGGAGGCTGGAGCTGTTCCTATTCAGCCATCTTGGTGCCACAGTAGTGTTTTCTTCTTAGGGATAAAAAACAAAGGTATACATTATAATTGATGTTTACATTTTTACTAAATACAGCAAGGCCAAGTTCAATTTCATTTAATTCAGCAGACAGTTGAGTGCCTCCTATATGCTGAGTCCTAAGACAGGTGCTGGGGCATAAGATGAACAGATCATGGTCCCTGGCCTCAAAGTGCTCTCGCTGCTAGCTTGAGAATTTGAGCCTTGGGGAACACCTGAAGGCTTGTGTTCCTTCTGCTGGCCCCACAGCCAGTGAGATCTTTTGTGGCGTGAATAGGAGAGAGAAAAGTGTGGCCACAGAGCATGGACATGGTGGGCAGACAGGTCTACGTCTAAACTCCTGCTCTCCTCTCTGCCTTTGCAATGCTGAACGTATTACATCCTCTGCTTTCTGATCTGTAAAATGGGAATAAGCCATACTTCAGAGTTGAGAGGACTAGACCAAGTGATGTCAAGCTCCTGGTCGCCACCTGACCCTCTGTAAAGTATTCTGTCGCCAGGACTACAGTGGTGATGATTACTGTTATTACTACTAACCTGCTGCTGTACCTCTGTTTTCTTATAGCCATGGAGCCCATCACCCAAGACAAACGTGTCTCTCAGGGCCATAATGGAGACCTGTACTTCTCCAACGTGATGCTGCAGGACATGCAGACCGACTACAGTTGCAACGCCCGCTTCCACTTCACCCACACCATCCAGCAGAAGAACCCTTTCACCCTCAAGGTCCTCACCAGTAAGTGCAGGCCCCTGCCCGGGGGCTGTGGGCCAGGGAAAGAAGCCCACTGACCCCACCCAGCCCTAGGTACCTGAGTCTAGGGGGAGACTTCTCCTTGAGGCTGACCTAGAAATCCTTTCAACTCATGGTGCCTGAGCCACTTCAGCTGCTCTTAAATGATCTCTCTTGATTGTGAAACCTTGAGTTAAACTTGGTCCTACCCTAAGTCAATTCTTCTTAAATTCTGGTGGGAATCAGAATCACCTTAGAACTTGGCAGCGTACCCAGAACCAGCCTATTGCACCTCAACAGCCCTAAGCCTCTTTGTTCTTTATGAGCCCTCCAGGTAATTCAAGTGCACCTCAGAGTCTGAGAACCACTGCTTCCAGTGGGCATCTAGAACCCCTCTCCGGACCCAGCTTGATTATTTCTTTTATTTCTTCTCATTGCTTGGGTATCTTTATTTCTACAAGAAATAGCAGAAAATATGAAAATTAGTGGAGACACCAAAATAAATTGTATTTGATTCTGTAATACGTATATGCTGAACCATATGGAATTGCTATGTTTGTAAGTTGCAGGCTTATGTTTTCGTTTTATTTGTTTTCATTTCTATTCCCTGATTCTGTTTGACTGGTACAAAAGCAAATCAGCATTTCCTGACCCATTATAGCGTTGGTGGCTCTCCCTTGAGGAGAGAGAGAAGCTTAGTCAGAAATGTTCTTCTTGGCAAGGACAAAGCAGCCTAGAGCTTTTGCTGCAAAGTCTCAGCCCACTCAGGACGTTGGAAGTTCTCTATGTTGCTGCACACCATGGATTTGTAACACGTCTTCCATAAAGGAGCCCCCCAAAGAATAGACCTTAGTCTGGCTCATGCTGTGGGTGTTGTTTTTGATGCTCTGGACAGTGAGGATTGTTGGGGAGGCCAGTAGAGATCACCATGTGGGTGCTGGCAGTTTGCAAAGGTCAGAGAAAATAGGCTGACCCTGGCTTCCTGGAGCCCCTGCAGAGGTGGTGGACAATGGCTCCCCGGGTGGATGTGGGTCGGGAGAGGTTCGGGCGATATCACTTCTCATTCTGGACAGGTAGGGGGTGTGACCATTAGCATTCTGTTTCTTCCTCCCCGTCCCTGCTGATGATGGAGGCAGGTGGTCCTGAGAGCTGACACAGCCCCATGCTCCATTTTCACCATGGCACAGAGGTGGATCCAAAAGGAAGCAGCTTCCTTTTTTCTTCCCCTTCTCATGGTTTTTTTTCTTTCTTTCTTTCTTTCACCTTTTCATTTTCTTCCTTTTTCTTTTTCACTTCCTTCTCTATTTCTCCTCCCTCTTTCTTGTTCTTTCTTCTTTTCCCTCTCTCTGTTCTG